TCCTCCTCCTCCTCCTCCTCTTCCTCCTGCCCAGGTACGGCATCCGCTGCAACACCGTTCTGCCGGGTTTCATCCGCACCCCCATGACGGACAAGGTCCCCACCAAAGTCCTGGATAAGGTCAGCAGACAGACAGAGAGAATGAGAGAGAAAGAGACAGAGAGAGAGAGAGAGACAGAATGAGAGAGAGAGGAGGGAGAAAGAGAAAGGGACACAGAGGGAGAAAGAGAGAGACAGACGGAGGGAGAATGAGAGGGGGGGGAAGCTGGGGGGGGGGTCCCAGGGTCTTGTGGCCGATTTCCTTTCCTTCCTTCCCCAGTTCGCTGCGATGGTGCCGATGGGACGCCTGGGGGAGCCCGAAGGTGAGGCCTCCGTCCTGCTGCCGCATTTTGGGGGTGGGGGCCCGGAGGGACAGGGGGCCTCTGCTCACCCCCAGGGCGCCTCCCTTGCCTGCTGCTCAGGAGAAGCCGCCCCTCCCCGTCCCTTCTGGGCCTGGGGAGACATTGGCCAGAGGTCTTCTCTGCCTCAGACTCCTCAACCCATCCATCAGAGGCCCCCACCTCCCCCCAAAAGAGGTCTGGAGTCTGCTATGGGGCAAAGAGAAGTGGGGAGCAGAGGCAACCCTGCTGGGGGGGGAAAGGGGGGGGGCTGAGCCAAAGGCCTGGCTCCCACCTGGGTCCACACAAGAGGCTGAGCTCCGAACAGAACAAAATCCCAGAGGGAAAAAGACCTTGTGGGTCATCTAGTCCAACCCCCCTCCCCTCCCCCCCACTCAAGCAGGAGACCCTACCCCACCTCTGACGGGGGGGGCAGTCCAGCCTCCCTTTGAAAGCCTCCCAGAACCTCCGAAGGCAACTTCTGTTCCTTGGGGTGTGATGGTTCTCCCTGTCAGGAAATCCCTCCTTATCTCCAGGTTGAATCTCTCCTTGGTCACTTTCCACACAGGATTCCTTCCCTGGCCTTCGGGGGGGCTTTGGGGAACAGCTTGAGCCCCTCCTCCTCCTCTCTGTGGCAGCCCCTCCCTCAAATATTGCTCTCCTGTCTCCCCTGGTGGCCCTCCTCTTCCCCTAGACCAGCCAGGCCCAGTTCGTCCTACGTTTGAGCCCCCAGCCCCCTCATCATCCCGGCTGCTCTTCTCTGCGCTCTTTCTAGAGGAGGGGTCTCCACCCTCCTAGGAACTCTGGGAGTTGAAGTCCGTTTGGAGACCCCTCCTCTAGAGCCCCAACCTCCTTTTCATCGCGTGGGGACCAACAGGGCTGGCAGGGCCTTGTGGGGGAGGCAGACCTCGGAGGGCGGAAGCCCCTCCCTCACCCAGAGACTTTCCAGAAGCTTCTTCCTTAGAATAAAACTTGGCCTTTCCGGATCCTTCCGAGATCTTGCAGCTGGGGTTGGTGGCTAGGAGAAGAGCCCGCTTGGCCCACCCTGGGCATCTGAGGTGGGCTCTGACTTTTGCTCTCTTCCCTTCTGGGGGGGCTCGCTCTGACACCCCCTCCCCCTTCTCCTCCTTCCCCCAGATGTGGCCGACGTCTGTGCCTTCCTCGCTTCGGACGAGAGCCGGTATATCACCGGTGCCAGTCTGGAAGTGACAGGTAGAGCCGGAGTGGGAGTGGGGGGTGGGCGGGATGTGTCTGGTCCGGCATTGATCTTCCCAGCTCTGACCCCCTCTTCCTCCCCCTCCTCTTCCTCCACCAGGGGGCCTCTTCATCTGAGCCTCTGCCGCCCCCTGCTGGGGAGACCCTCACGGACACGCTTCCAGGAAGGACTCTGCCCTCCACGGACGGACCTGGTGCTTGGCCAATGCCCGTTCCCTGCCAGGGGGCTGTAAAGGATGAGCCCTGGACTTGTATGGAAGGGAGGGGGGCTCTTCCGGCCCAGGCTCGACCCCCCCCCTCCCACAATAGAGAGCTGCAATTGCTGTTTCAGGCTGGTGGTGGCTGGGAGTTGATTTATAATTCACCTGTGGATAAACGGAGCGATCGATTGAGTAAAGGTGCTTTTTTAAAGACTTACGCTGGAAAAAGGGCGGAGTTTGTGTGGGAGCGAAGGCCTCGGAGAAGGGGCAGGCTCCTTCCCCAGTCCAGGGGCAGCCGGGGAGCCTGCAAGCCACGAACAAGCTACCCACGGAGGGATTTGCACAGGGAGAGAGGGGTGGTGGGCGGTACGAGGGAGCCTGGACACTGGCAGCAGAGCCGGGAAACAGCTTTTCCCCCCGGGGGTCTCTGTGGAAGGCTGAACCAGGTCCAATGCCAGTGCAAATGCCCCCCCCCCAATTGACAGAAGAGGAAATGGGGGTTGTCCAGGCTCTGGGAAGCTACTCGCCGGAAGGACCCTGCCCTCCCCCAGGGCCCCCCTCTGGGCTCTCTTGAATACCGCTCACCGTCTTTGCCCACGACGGCAGCCCAGCTCAGAACGTTGCTGAAGGAGGCAAACAGCCCGATGACCAAGACCCTTAACAGGCCTCCTCCCCCCTCCCCTCGGTCATATTTCCAGAACCAGCAGGCTCCCCCAGGGCTGGTTGTACTGTTGGAGGGCTGGTACCAGTGCCTGGCTTGGCACAAGGGGCCAGAAGGCCTCTCTGGCAGCTTTCTCCAGCCGATGTCTGCCCTGCGATTCAATTTCCGGGGGGGGGAGGGGGGCTTCTGGGAAAAATGGAGGAGCCTCTCCTGGGTCCCCACCTTCAATCTCCCAGAGGAGGGCTCTCGGGGGTCTCCCCATGGGATCTACACTGGGAGGATTGGTCCTACTGGGAACACAACGGGGGCAATTTTTGAGCTTCTCCCCCACCCGGCAGGGGCTTCACTGCCCCTCCTCCTCCTCCCCTTCGGCCTGGCTGGGCCTTTGCCACGTCTCTGGCCAGTCCATCACCGTGTGGGCACTTTTGCCATATGGGGGATACGTGCCCCGAACTGTCCAGTGGCCTTCCCCCCCCCCCCCATGGCTTCCCAGGGATGGGGAGGAGAGGAGGGGCCTCTTGTGCTCTCCGCGACCCCATTGTGGTTCTTTTCCCCAAAGGCTTGTGGGTTGAGGGGGGGGGCAGGTGCCATCTGCAAGTTGGGGGGGGTCAGCGAGCTCCCTCCTCCCAGGGATTACGGAGAGCTGGGCTGGGGATGCAGGCACACTAACCAGTGTTTGCCGAAAGGATTACTGGGGTGTGCGTGGACGGACGGTGTGGGGTAGGGGATTAGCAGGGGGGGGGCTCAGGCGCCTTCAGACCATTTGGGACTCTTCCAAAGATTAAGCGGGGGGGCCACGGCCTCTCTGGTGCCCCCCCACTCAGCATGACAGACCAAGCAGAAATGCTCCCCAGCCCTTCACAGTGGTTATAAAACACAGGACCCCAATTGCTCCCCCCACACCCTTAATCCGGGGGAGCAAGAACGCAACACACAACTTCCCACAATGCACTGCCCGTTTCCACCTGGGGCTTTTGTGAGTTGTGCTAAACCGGAGCTTCTGGAATTGGACTACACCTTCCATCACGCCCAGCCAACGGGCTCCCCAGGAATGGGCCTCCATGGGGCAGACCCAGTGGGCTGCATCAGGCCCCGTGTCGCGTGTCCAAACCCTGGCCTTCCCTTTTTCTGAACCTGGGTTTCGTGGGGGGGGGGATCCCCCATCCCTGCCTGAAGGGGAGGAGGGAGGGAGGGTCAGGCCTGCCTCAGCTCAGCTGATCAGGAGAGAGAAACCCTCGACTCCTCCGACTGGAGCGGCAGGGACTTTTGCTAAGGTTCAGTGGTTGCAGAGGGAAGTTGGTCCCAAGCGCAAGCAGCACTACTGAGGGAGGGGGGGCTCTTCCCTGGGAGCACTCGGGCTCTGCCTTGGCAGTGGGGAAGGGGCTTCCGGGGGGGCTGGAGGACAGGCCAGGGAGGCCAGCTGTGGCCCTGGACCCCCCCAGTTGCCTCCAGGCACAGAAAGGGCCAGGGGGATTTCTTCAAAAAAAAAAAAACCTCAGCCCCCCCACAGGCAATCCATACCGCAGGGTGGCTCCCCTGGGAAATGTCCTGAGAAGCCCAACAGGCTGGGCGGTTTGGGGGTGGTCTTTAGTGCCCCCCCCCCATGAAGCAATTCTGGGACAGAGTGGAGCCCAGGCAGCTTCTTCCTGCCGAAAGAGAGGCCGGCGTTTCTGGGCCAGGCACAGCTGGAGAGTCGGGAAGAGCGGCCATTTCTCTCTCTCCCAGGTCAGGCCCCGGAGGGGGGGACCCAGAGCCTCCTTTCTCCCCACCCCCCATTGCTCGAGGGGGCCCCACGGGATGCCAGGGCCCCTCCCCACTTGAGTCAAGAAAAGTTTGTTGGGGGGGGGAGAGGAAGAGCCCCCTCCCCCAGGGGCAGAAGGACCCTTATCCTTGTAACTCTCCCCCTGCCTGGTGCTCCCGGGGGGGGGGGCAGTGGGAAGCAGCCCCCATCGTCCCCAGCAGTCGCAGATCGCTGGGTGATGGGCAGTCTAGTCCAACCCTTTCGCAGAGTGAAGGTGGCTTCCCGAGTGCTTCACCAGTCGTACTTCCACCTGGCACAGAGCTGGGAAAGGTAGAGGAACGCCAGCCAGACCAGGCAGGCTGAAATGTGGGGGGTGGGGGGGCGTTGTGTTGAGAAGACCCTATTCTGCTTCTGCCATCCCACTGGATGTCTAGATGGGGAGGNGGGGGGGGGGCAAAGCCGCCGCGACGGTGCCCCCAAAGCTCCGCCACCCACGGATCCTAAACGGGCGCGGATCCTAAACGGGCATCCCTGGACTTTTCTGACCGCGGTTGTGGCTAAGAAAGCGGCCCCCACCCTCCCCAAAAGAAACCAGAGTAAAGGGAAGAAGGCGGTGGCGGGGGGGGGGAAGGGGGGCGAGATTGACACAATAAAACCCGAATATAAAAGCGGCGTTTGACTGAGCCAGTCCCGCGGTGCTCATCTTAAAAGAGTTCCTTTATCGTTGTATATTTCCCTAACCATCGGCCCGCAAACCCCCTTCCTCTGCCCCATGGGATGCCAGGCGCTGGAGACGGACAATGCCAGGATGGACAATGCCAGGATGTTGGGGCGTCTGGGGCTCCTAGAAGGGCGCCTTCCTCTGGCCGGCAGCTGTCTCTCCCCCACCCCGCATGGGCTGGGGGTGGCTGCGGTTTGGGGAGTTCCAAAGCCCCTGAAATGGGCTGGGGAGGGGGAAAGGCCTGTCTGGGACCCCAATTATTCTCTCTCTCCTCCGCCTTCCTTCATTCGCTTCTCCTTCCTCAGCTGCTGGGCAGGAGAAGACCTTTGGGGGGGGGGGAGTGCAGCGACTGCCCCCCCCCCTTCACACAACAGCCTCTCTGAATGTAACCCGCGTTCTGGCTGTGCAGGTCGGCCTGAAGCTAAAGGGCCCCTGCTCGCCCCTCCTCAGCTCCCCGCTTCCCAGGCGTTAGCAGTTCCACCCGGCGGGGTCCTCTCACCAACCCCGGGCGCTTGGGGGTCGTGCGGAGGCAGCTGGGCGTCGCCTGGGCTCCAAGGGGAAGCCGGCGAGCGAGCCTTCGGACGGGGCCTTCTTGCAGGGAGCCCGGCTGAAGGAGGCGTCCTTTTGAGCGGCTCCTTCCAGGCTCTCTGGGCCTCCCTCGTTGTTTCCTCGCAGGCGTTTCATGGCCCAAACTAGGTAACACCATCAGGGCTGCCCCAAGGAGCGACGTTTGCTGCCAGAAGGAGCCCTGGCGACGCTACCTGCTTTGGGTGGGGGGGTGGGGGTCATGAAACGCCTACAAGGAAGCAACCAGGGAGGCCCGAGATAGGACTCAAAATTCCCCCCTGATTGGAACTTCCTTGTCTTAAAGCGAAAACGAAAGCCGGAAGACTCCCTTCGCCGTTCGGCTGAAGCGGGGGGAGGGGCGGGGGCGTCGGAGACCAGACGCTTCTCCTGTCCAGTAAGCGGGGTTTTAGCCCCCACCCCCCACTTAAGGAGGGACTGGGAGGGGGGGGCAGCAGCGGGAAAGGTGCAGCTGTCCGTGGGGGTGGGGGGCGCGGTGGCTTCAAGCCCCCCCGCGAAAGCCTCTCCCTAGGCGAACGTCGAAGGGGGGGGGAGCGCAGGAGCGCAGCCGAAAGTCCGCCCGGCCGAGGCGCTCCGGGGAGACCGTTCCCACGGCCAGAGAAGCGAGACCGGGCGAGGTCCGGTTGGTGGGTGGCGGGGAGCTTTTTTTGCCCGCTGAGGGAACGCGGCTCCCTTCGTCAGGAAGGAGCCCAGGAAACGGCCCCATTCGGGGACCCGGGACCGTGTGAACGCGGGTCCTGCTCCGGCCGTCGCTGCCCAGCCTCCCCTCCCCTCCCCCCGCGTCTTTACCTCCAGCGCTGGCCAAGGCCGCCCAGATCAAAGCCAAGGCCGGCAGCGCCCACCGGCGGAGTCCGGGACCCATCTTCTTCCCTCCTGTCCGCCTGCCCAACCGCCTTCTGGGGCCCCGGGAGAAGGACGACGCCCCGCGCCCGCCGGGGCCGCCTCTGGGGCCGCCCAATCCGCTTCCCGGGCGCGGCCTCGTCACCGGTTGCCAAGGGGAAGCCCTGCAGTTCAGGCTCCCAAGTGGAGATGGGTCCACCGCTCCACTCCTCGCCGCTGGCCCGGGACTCCGCAAGCCGCCGGTGGGGGAGGACGAGGGGGCGCCGAGGGAAGCGAGACCGCCGCGATGCCAGAGCGACCCGGCCCCCTCCCAGGCTTTCGGCAGAGGGGCCAATTGTGCGGGCGAGCGGAAGGCAAGGGCGGCTTGGCCCAACCTGGGAGAAAGGTCCCGGAGGGGGGGGAGTGGACGAAAGGGCCCGGAGGCTGCCCCCTGCCGGGGAGGGTCGCCTGACCTGCGGCCCAAAGGCAGGGAGACAGCAGCAAACACCCCCCTCCGTCTGCAGGCCAGGAACCAGCCTGGTCCACGTCCACGGGGACAAATCCGCAGCTGGATAGGAATTAACGGGGAGGGGGACGGGGGCGCCTGGGGAAACGTCCTGGACAAATGTGGAAAGAGCCCAGAGGAAGGGGAGGCCGAGGGGGCGATGCAGCTGCAGAACAACTGGATCCTTGGACATCAGGAAACCATTGGGGGGGGTGTTGCCCAGGCAGGAACCCGGGGCGCTCCTGGAGGGCTCTGGCCGGGGGAGGTGGGAACCTGGGGCTGGGGTGCTGTGTGACCCCCCCCCTGCATCCATGGAGGGGGAGAAGGCTCATTTTCTGGGTGGCTTCCCCCCCCCATTCCTTCTGGGTCTGGCCCTTGGGGAGGGGGCAATGGGGGGGGTCTCGGCTTTGGCCTCTCCCAGAGTTTGTTGCCTTCTGAATCCAGCCCAGGGAGTTCCGAAAAGCGCCAGGAAGACGGAGAACATTCATGGACCCCCCCCTTCACCCGGCCATCCTTCAGCCTGGCCATCCTTCAGCCCGCCCCTCCCTCAAAGGAGGCTTTTCTGAAGCCGTGAGAGCTATGCTCTGGTCTGCCCCCTCCCCTTCCTCCAGGCTGCCCAGACAGGGAAGAGGGTAACCAAGTTGGTTTCTCTTTTGCATGATTGTTTATGAATACCATCATCATCATCATCATCGTGGCTGCCCTGGGCTTGAGAAAGATGGGCAGCTCATGGGCGAGTGAAGTGCTGGGCTGGGGGAGCCGCGTCCCCCTCAGGAGGCAGCCCTTCAGAGCGGGCAGCCCCATCAATGCATCCAAGGGGCGATGGCAGTGGCAAAGTACTACCTAACCCATACCTTGCATCCTGCGGGTAGACCCGTGAGGAGGCCGGGCTGAATGGCCTGAGTGGTCGTAAGCCACTGGGTGAGATCATTCGTCGGCACGGGATAAAGTACCACCAATATGCGGACGATACGCAGTTGTATTTGTCCGCCCCGTGCCAACTCAGTGCAGCAGTTGACGTGATGTGTCAGGGTCTGGATGGGTGTGAACAAGCTTGCACTCAATCCCGACAAGACCGAGTGGCTTGTGTCTTTCCCTCCCAAAGATTGGCCCTGTACTCCATCTCTCAGGCTGGGGGGTGAAATTCTACGCCCTCAGACAGGGTTCACAATTTGGGAGTCCTCCTGGACCCACAGCTGACCTTAGATCACCATCTGTCGGCTGTGACCAGGGGGACATTTGCCCAGGTTCACCTGGTGCACCAGTTGCGTCCCTAACTGAACCCGGAGGCTCTCAGAACAGTCACTCACACCCTCGTGACCTCAAGACTGGACTACTGTAATGCGCTCTACATAGGGCAGCCCTTGAAGAGCATTCAGAGACTTCAACTTGTCCAGAATGCAGCCGCGCGAGCAATTGTCGGTGCACCTCGGTTCACCCACGTAACACCTATCCTCCGCGAGCTGCACTGGCTGCCTGTTGGACTCTGGACGTGCTTCAAGGTGCTAGTTGTTACTTTTAAAGCCCTACATGGTATCGGACCTAGGTACTTGAGAGACCACCTTCTGCCAATTACCTCCCTTCGACCAATCAGATCCCACAGATTAGGCCTCCTCCGGATNTTGTTAATGTCACCCCCTTAATGGGGAAGAGTTCCCCCCTCGGACTCCTTTGCCCAACTCTAAGGCCTCCCCTGTCTCCCCCCCCCCCGGGGGGGGGTTTCTGCTGCTGGAGACGCCTCCAGTTCCCACATTCAAGGGGTTGGGGGGGAGGGAGACCCCTCTCCTTGCACATTGTGAAGACTTCCAAGATGCAAGGACTTCAACACCCAGAATTCCCCAGCTGCCATCCCCTGAGGGATTCTGGGAGCTGAAGTCCAGGCATTTAAAGCAGACACCGGCTCTCAGTGCCCCCAGTGGAGGAGAGTCCCACAGGCTGTTCCCATTTCACCAAGATGGACCTTTCTGCAGTTTCTAAGGGGTGTGTGTGTGTAGTTTGGTGGGGGGGAGTTAATACTTGGGCAGACCCCTGCACTGCCCACTCCCTTGTCCGGAGGCTTTATTGCAAACCCCCGAGAGATGAGAACTCTGCACATGCACAGTGGTCCCCTTGAGGCCAAGCCCTGCTGCTTCCGGGGCAGCTGACAGGAAGATGTGTGCCCCCCCCCCACACACACGAGTTGCCCCTGGGGGTGAAATTCAGCAGGTTCTGGAGAACCGGTAGTGGAAATGTTGAGTAGTTTGGACAACCGACCAATACCATCTCAGGCTGGCCCCGCCCCATCTCTTCTCTGCCTCCTGAGTCCCAGCTGATTGGGAGGGAATGGGGACTTTACAGTATCCTTCCCCTGCCACCAAGCCACGCCCACCGAACCGGTAGTAAAAAAATAATAATTCCACCACTGGTTCCCCCCTCCCACTCACCCCATTCTGCGGTGAGGGGTGCCTTCAGGCTGGAGTGGTGGACGGAGCAAGTGTAGCTGCCCCCCTTCTGGGGGTCAACCGGCAGCGTCAGCTGCGCCTGGTAGCTCCAGTCCCCGTTACTGGTGACCCGTGGGGGCTCCAGGCGGTCCTTCACGGGCTCCCCGTTCCAAAGCCAGGTGATGTTGACGTCTCCTGGGTAGAAGCCCCACACCATGCAGGCCAGCATGATGGGGTCCGGAGTGTTCTGGGGGGTAACCGGGGAGATGAGGACCTTCGGTGCAGCTGAGGAAGGAAGATGGACACAGGAGGCTGGGTTGCACCCCCCCTCTCCCTCTGTGCACCCCACTGATCTCCCCGCCCCTCCAAAGTACCCCCCTGATTTCAAATGCTCATCAACCTCTCTGCCACGGTCTACTACTGTCTGTGGGTCAGATTAGATGACCTCTAACAACCCCTGCCATCCCTTGGATCCTAGGAGAAGCCCTCTCCTTCTGCTGGCCAAGACCTCCACCCCACCCCCCCAATCAGGCACTCCCTCTCTGGGACCCAGCGCCCCCCCGCCCACTCACTCCGCCTGTCCCCGGTCTGTGCCCAGAGCGCCTGGCCCCGCAGCTGGCACTGCTGGGTGGTGTCCTCGGGCAGCTGCAGGGAGGTGTTGGTGAGCCAATCGGCGACGGGGAACCCCAAGTAGTAACCCCAGAGCGGGGAGGCGCCCAGGCCGCAGGGCACGAAGCCCTTGGCCTGGAAGTCGAAGCAGGTGAAGGGCATCTTGTTGAAGAAGAGCGTCCAGCTGGGCTGGAGGAGGCCGCCGTCGGCCGAGAGGAGGCAGTCCGTCTCCAGGTGCAGGACGAAGCCACCTGCGGGCGGGGAGGGGAAGGAAGCGAGGATCAGGGCGCGGCTGCCGGCGATGCCCTCCTGCCCGCTCACTCAACGGCCACGGGGCCCCGAGGGAGCGGCTCTCCAGAGGGAGGCGGTTCCGCGGTCGTGGAGGGACGGCGGGGAATGCCCAGCCGTCCTGGTCGGGGGGGTCGCCCGGCGAGAAATCCCAGCGTCCGGAGAGGCGAGGGCGAGCCTAGAAAGCGGCCAGCGGGCCCGCCTTCCTCCGGGGGGTAGCCCGGCCCGTGCGGCCCTCGCCCACGGAGGGTGGGGATCGTGGCCCACCGAGACGCCCGCCGGAGGGAAGCTGGAAGGCAGAGACGCCGCCTCCCGCCCCCCCGGCGCTCCGTCTCAATCCCGGCGGTTAAAAAAGAAAGAGAAACCGGGGAGAGGCTCGTCCGATGAACCCGGCGGCCAGGAAAAGCGCTCTTCGCATGCCCAGAAGACCCCCCCAAACCCCGCACCCCTTGGGACTCCCGCCTCCCAGGCTGAGGGCGCCTCCGCCTCTGCGCGGAGTCCCCAGATTCCCCCGGGGGTCCCCACTGCTACCTCGGGACACCTCCGGAGGCCGCGGCGAGCCCCCTGCTGCCCCGGCGGGGCTACCGGCAGGCGCATCGCCCCTTGAGGTGCGGTTGGGCGGAGAGCCCCCCCCCCCTCGCCAAAGAGCCGCCCTCCCTCCGCTCGGCCGCCTCCCCAGGGCGGTTGCTGCGGAAGGGGACCCGTGGAAAGGCGGCTCGGGGGTCCCGGGGGGGGCGGGCGGAGGGGCGCAACCCCCCTCGAGGCGCGGCCTTACCTGCCAGCGGGGCGCTCAGCGCCAGGATCAGCAGCGACCACGGAGGGGGCATCTCGGCGGGTCGCGGAAGGTCCGGCAGATTCTCGGGAAGGGCCGCCCGGACGACACCCCGAGCGAGACTGGCGCGCCCTTCCCCTTCCCCGCCCCTCCCCTCCCCTCCCCCGGCCCAGCGTCCTCCCGCCGCGGCCGCCCAATGGCGAAGGCGGACGCCGGCGCGTCATCGGTCGCTGGGGAAGCCCGAGCCGTCCGAGCGCCGGAGAGGGAAATAGTCTCGAGACGCTTGGAAGCAGCCCCGAAGAACGGTGGAATGGCAGGCTTGGAAGGGGACCTTGGAGGTCTTCTAGTCCAACCCCCATGCCAAGCAGGAGACCCTATACTATTTATTAACAAATTAACAGAGTTGGAAGGGACCTTGNGGGGGTGGGGGCTTCTCCTGGACCAGGTATGTGTGGCCCCCACCTGAGGGGTGTCTCCACTCCCCCCTGGCTCTGGCGGGACTGTAGCCCCCCCCCCCGTCCTTCCCTCTCACCCCCCCCTCTCTCTCCTCCCCGGTTCGCAGGTACGTCAAGACCACCGCCAACGCCACGGTGGACCACCTGTCCAAATACCTGGCCCTGCGCATCGCCCTGGAGGAGGTCCCCGGCCCGGACCCCGAGCCCCCCGCCCTGGAGGACGTGAGCGAGAAGCAGTACACCATCTACATCACCACGGCTGGAGGGGCCTTCACGGTGAGGCTGTGGGGCTGGTGGGAAGAGGTCCCTTTGTGAGGGGGGGGAGGAGTGGGCTGAAGATTCCCTGCCTGTTGGGTTCGTGCAGCTTGACTCGCTCGCCCGAGTCACCTGTTTTTCCCTGTAAGTGAGATGAAGCCCTGGGAAGGTTGGGGGTCTGTGTGGGGGGAGGGTTTGGGCCGAGGGGCAGAAGACCCTCTAAGTGACAGCCCCCCCTTCCCCCCCCCCCGTCTCCCCCCTTGGCTCAGACGCTGAACGGCTCTGCGACTCTGGAGCTGGTCAACGAGAAATACTGGAAGCTGAGCAAACCCCTGGAGCTCTTCTACGCCCCCACCAAGGAACAGAAGTAGCCGGGGTGGGGGCCCCAACCTGATGGACAGCAACTGGGGGGCAGGTGCGGGGGGGGCGCCCCTCTTGCCTTCAAGGTGCCTCTTTTCAAGAAGATGCTTCGCTTGGGGGGGGGGAGCTTCACACGCCCCCAAAAAACCCCTCCCAAGGCCAATTGGGGGGAAGGCCAGAGAGGCCCTGGCTTTTCGGTCCCCCCCTCCCAGGGAGGCCTGGGGGGGACGGGGCTCCTGCCGTCCCTGCCCCTCTCCTCCAATGGGGGGGGAGGAGAAGGAGCGATTGGGGGGGGGCGAAGTTTTTGTTTCCTGCCTTTTTACAGCTGTTTTTGTGGAACTGACGACAATATTTGCTCCTTTGAACCCCTGTCTGTGGCCTGCCTCGTTT